AAGGCAGTTTAAGGTCCCATCAAAATAATCATTATAAAGTGAACTATCTAAAATCGATTCCAAATTCTGGTTTTGATCCTATTATTAAAGCTCACTAAATATACAAATGTGATATAGCGATCAGGGTATAATGTTATATGCACACATATTCTGGCTTTGAATATGATTGTGTACATTAACAAACAAAAAAGATAAGTCTCAAGGTGGTTGATGTTTTTAATTTCAGCAGCAAAAATCCTTAGTAATACCTTACATGGATACTAACCATTGGTATTACTAACTGTATATTAGAATTATATACTAGCATTAATGTTTACACTTGTAAATGAAATAACACAAAATTAAAATGATGCGTGTTCAAACGGATAATAATTTCAGAAAAAAAACAACATTTAAGTAATAAGTTAATGTCAACTAATCACTTGTTTTGAACATTCAAAATACCCTAAAAGGTGTCTGACATAAGCTTTTACATGTTTTTTTTTTCGAAAATAAAAATCGAAACGTGCAGTCTGTATTGATCTATTTCATCCTATTCCATCTTTGTACTTTGGGGTGGTCTAGCTTCGATGTAGTTTGGTCTGGACCTAATTGCGTTCGGTAGAATCCCACCAACAGAGTCAAACTGGCCAAGGTTATTCATCCTTTCATTATATATGTATCTGTTCTTCTCGTTCTGTATTGTTTCTTCATATGCATGTGGCGCTGATGGGTTTGCGGCATATTTAATCTTTGTTTTCTCTGGAACAGAATCTACAGATCGCTCTAGTTTGGTGTTTTTCTTGCATGCCCTGTTAAATATAAAAATTAACACGTATTTCAAAATACAAACGAGATAATTTTTTTCAAAAAATGTAAATTTGCTGTTTTCATTTTATTTTTATTTACGCCCACAAAACTATATTTACATACGTCTATCGCTGACATTTTACGTTTTATAACATAAATAAGACGATGTGGTACGAGTGCCAATGAGACAACTCTCCATCCAAGTCACAATGTATTAAAAGTTAACAATTATAGGTCAAAGTACGGTCTCCAACACGGATCCTTGGCTCACACCGAACAGCAAGCTATAAAGGGCCCCAAAATGACAAGCGTAAAACAATTCAAACAGGAAAACCAACGGTCTAATCTATATAAAAAAGAAATACGAGAAACACATATGAACCACACCAACAAACGAAAACCATAGTTCTATAACATAAGCCTTCGTAGGTTCATATCGTTTGCTTTCGACGTTTTTTATCGGATATTTTTTTTTTTTGCTATCAATGCCGAACCACGTTTACGAAGGCTTATGTTATAGGACTAACGAAAACCACTGAACAACAGGCTCCTGAAGACTACAAAATCGTACTTGATAGTATACGATTCTGTCTTCCCTGTGCACGTAAAATGTCGTTTCATACGAGCAAAATTAGCTGTTACAGAACTCAGATGCGGGTATAGTTACTTGAAACTATCACTGACCTGAAATCTCCAAATCAAAAATATAATCTCATCAACATCAAGTTTTCTTTTACTTAAAGGATATGAAAAAGCACACGTTCAAATCAAGTCCTTCATTCAGTGGCTTCCGTTGGTTGGTGTCTGCCATATATATATATTTGATGTTCTTTATTGTGATATTGTTTTAGCATAATTCAAGCCGTTGGTTTTCTCTTTTCAAATTGTTTCCCATTGTGTCATGCTGAAGCCTTTTAAAGCTTACTTTACGGTATGTATTTTGCTTATTGTTGAAGGATTTACGGCAGGGGCGGATCCAGCCATTTTTAAAAAGGGGAGGGGGGGTCCCAACCCAGGATAAAAGGGGGGTCCAACTATATGTCCCCATTCAAATGCATTGATCGTCAAAAAAAGAGGGGAACACCCCCCCCCCCCCCCCCCCCCCCCGGATCCGCCACTGATTTACGGTGACCTATTATAGCTGTTTACATTCTAGTCCTTTGGACCAGGTCATTGTCATACCCCAAATCATACCCCGTCGATAGTTGCCTCATTAACAATCACATCCCTTCTTTTTTTAATAGTCAAGAAATATGCAAATAATAATAAGCAGGATACTTTCCTATTATGCAGTAATAAGCTATTTATGATAATGATTAATATTATTTGTTCATATTACGGTATTGATGGGGAGTATAGAATAGAGCATATGATTGACAAAATGAGAAGAATAAAGGATAAAAAATAAAGAATAGAGAAAAGCTAACCAAAACATAAAGAATAGAGAACAATGGGGTGCTAAAATATAAAGAATAGAAAATCATGGGCCAAAAATATAAAGAATAGAGAAAGATTGACCAAAAAATTAAAGAATACAGAAATGAAGAGCCCCCTCCCCCCCTTTCCAACACCCTCATATATGAATAAAAGATGTACCAGTTCTTATTGTTCTTAAGATATTGTTGGAGGGTTTTCCCTCATTGATAATAAGTTAAAACTAAGGCAAGCGGTAGTGTTTGTATCAGATAGGTGGTAAAACATGTTTCTTTTAATTTGATTCTCTCTCTTCCTCATTTTTTTTTTATATGGACTATAGATTACATTCTTTTGAAACCAATAATGACTAATAAGTTGATAATTCATGTTTTGGGATGTCTTATCAACTGTCGAGTAGTATACCTTGTAATCTGATATAAAACACGAGAAAATTTTCTGAACTTGACTTTTAGACTTACTGAAGTACGACGATAACCAACAGTATCACTGACAATACAGCTAAAATACCAACAACGGCCCATATAGAACTGTTTGATCTTTTCCCGTCATCTAAAATAAACAAGTAGATTTTAAATAATTTAAGTTGATCTTTTAAAGAAAATTGAGGTGGAGCTCGGCACTGCCACTATATTTCGTATAACATATACGCAAGCATAATCTTGTATATAAATGACTGCAAACAGCTAGGGGAGAGCCTATTAAAGTGTAACCACGAGAATGAAAGTGAAATAATGAAATAACAATTCTGGGTTTAGCAGCCAGATTGGTTCAATTTTGTCATATAAAAGCTATGAAGCATCGCTTGCAAGTGAATAATTCGGCATCATTGAATCCGTATTTATGTGACCTTCAATGTTAACACTTAGATGGAGATGGGTTACGCATGTATTCAGCTATTAAAAGGAAAAGAATGTCAACATTGAAAGTGAAACAAGGATGAACCATTTGGTTGACTGATTCGATCCACAAAAAAAATCATTTTTATATAGGTAAAAACGATGATAAACATACTTTTTGACCTACAATATGAAATCAAACAGACCTAGAAAATCCAATTGCACGTGGTCGCTATCTATTTATAGTTATATTAATGTTTATATCGGGTTATAAGACTGCGGCAGTCTTCGGAGGTCATCTCGGTAATTAATAAAAAGACATCTAGACAAAAATACACACGAAATGCAGATATATATGTTCGAGTCCATGCATTGTTAATTGTTCATTTTAGACTTTTTGTAATTTGGTAATTTTAGTATGTTTTAAATCAAATAAGAGAATTTGAGTCAAATCGGTGAACATGAATTTGACACCTAATGCCCCTTTATCTGAATTTGACACATAATGCCCCTTTAACTGAAAATAAAACTTTGAGTAATATGTTCTAATGTATTTTTGTTTGCCTCGAACTTCAATCAGTTATCACAAAAGAGGGACGAAAGATACCAGAGGGACAGTCAAACTCATAGATCGAAAACAAACTGACAACGTCATGGCCAAAAATAAAAAGACAAACAGACAAATAATAGTACAGATGACACAACATAGAAAACTAAAGACTAAGCAACACGAACCCCACCAAAAACTGGGGGTGATCTCAGGTGCTCCGGAAGGGTAAGCAGATCCTGCTCCACATGTGGCACCCGTCGTGTTGCTTATGTTTTTACAAATCCGGTAAATAGTCTAAAGCGTGGTTTTGATGCGGTATTGCTACATTTACCTTTTAAGTATGACAGCTACATTTCAGGATTTAAATGGTCCGTAAAACACCATTAAAAGTGAGAAGACTTAAGATTTTCTCATGATTAATCCGAGGCATATGAAAATTGCATGCTTAGAAATTAAATTTAACATGTAACAACAAAGCATCACTTTTCCCATGCAAAGTTTTAATTTTTACTCAAATTTGAGTGATAGATTACAAATCGATTCCGGCATGTATTTGAATAATATGATAAGCCTACATATGATGTCGAACTTTATATATTTTATTGTGTATGTTGTTACAATGTGGTTTAAATTTTAAACAAACAAAACTAAATGCGTAACTATGCTTTTTGGGTGAAAAATTGCTTTATTTTCCCCTCTTATGGCGTTTTAGTTTATTCAGTAAAAAATAAAACATACCTTTTTTTGTGGATATATCATGTGGTTTCAAAGTAGAAGGTGGGTCAGGTACTGGTAAGGTGCCTTTTAATTTAGAAAAAACTTTTTGTTTATAAAACACAATATTTTGTAGTAAAACAAACCCATTATCAACAAATATTCTAATTGGTTAAGGAAACTTTAAATAGCCATTGAATAGTATTTTTGAATTATCTTGAAGAAGTAAAAAATAATTAAGTATACTCTAAATGATCAACAGAATGTCCATCAGTGAAAAAAGATCTCTGCACTTCAGATATGTAATAACCAAAGATTGATTTGTTCTGTTTTGTCAATACTTGGTTTATTAAGTTTTGGCTGTTACTGATATTGACATTTCCCTTTTTTCGATTCTGCGTAATGGTAAGTTTTGAATTCCACCATCTGGCACAAGTCGATAACAGAAAGGTTACATTTCTAGAACAGATATTTCAATAAAAAAGGATGAATTAATAATAAATTTGCGTACGCTTGAAAAAGGACTTTTATATTTACACAAAATGAAGCTCGATTTCCACTTCAAGAGAAAAGCGTTTTCGTATTGGTCATTTCACTGATCCCCTGTTGCTTATTTCTTATATCACTATCTTTAAGTAATAACACTAACACAAGTGAAAAAAGATTAATCTTACCAAAGCAATAACCAGACTTATCCACATTTAACTGTTGTAAAAAGTATGTCCGGTAGTTGCCACAGTTTCGTACTTTAATATCATACTTAGCTTCACACATGCTACTCAGTCCAGACTTGCAAACCTTCCTATCAACAGTTTTGTCACCAACGTCTGGGATATTCCCTGTGAAATTCAGAAATACGTTTTTCAACAACTGTCTTGTTTTTTTAGTGGAAATTTTCCACAAGTAGATTTTATTTTTACTAAATGCAATGATACAGCATCACATACTATACAAGTTGTTAAATGTTGTGTCTACCCTGAAAGACTTTCAATTTCTAAAAAAAGAGTTCATGTAAATTCTCTAAACCTTATAACATAACCGACAATAAAAGTTTGTAATAAAAATTGATTTTCTGCACATAGGAAAGACTAGATGGTTACCGATATGTGAGAAAAAACTAGCCAAAATTCAACGCAGAAAAGAGAAATGTAACTCGATTTTCATTGAAAGCACTTGTGGAAGCAGTTTCAGTTCTACTAGTAGAACCCATTCCAATTAATGCTTAACAAAATCATAATTGATTCCGAAAAAGGTTCGAAGATATAACTTCATTTTGTTAGTCTATGGCAAGCCGTTTTACTATTTATTCTAAGTTCAAAATATCTAATACACTTTATAAGATATCTTATAAATAAAATGAGATAGCTTATAAAATATATGAGCTATCTTATAAACTATATAAGATATCTTATAAAATATATGAGATATATCTAATAAAGTATATAAGATATCTTATACAAAAAATATTTATAAGATATCTGATCAACTTCATAAGACATCTTATAAACTTTAGAAGATATCTTATAAAGTATATAAGATACATGTATATTATAAAGTTTATAAGATATCTTAAAAAAATAGATTATATAAGATATCTTATATATTATATGAGATATCTTGAATTTTGAATAAATGGTATAAACAGCTTGCCATAACAGTCTCTTGCAGTGATTGACAAATCAAGTGTTTCTTCATAATATTCATCGACAGTGAGCTTACATAGACATTAATTTTTTGAAACATAACACTAACCTTGCATCCATAGCGGGTATAATGTACCACATTGCATCATAGAAACACTTTGATTGACTATGTCATTTCCGGTGACGCTGTCAACTCTGTACCATCCGGTTCTCAGTCGACTGTCTTCTATAGCAGCATCACCCTCATTAAGACTATAATTTGCTGACCTCTTCACCTCCTTTCGCAATACTTTGTAGTTTACACTTTGACAAGGATCAACTATAGATAGAAAAAATACAGGGATTGAATGGACAATTCTAGAATGTAAGCCCGACGTCGTTTATTCCTCTTCTGTAATAACACTTAAAACAAATTATCCCCGTAGAAGTCAAGAGTTAATTATATGCATATTTAAACTCGCGGGCTAATTGTTTTATTTATGTCGATGGGATGTTATAATCTTACGATAGGATTTTTTTTTATCTATCTGGAAAGATATTGAAGAAAAATCTCTGGCTGGAAAAACGGTGTAGAGAGGAGGGCTTAAAAGGGCAAATTTGTATATGTATTTTCCTGAAGGCTGATGATAAGAAAATGTTTCAACTGATTGTTATAGTTTGTTCTTGTGTTGTACTGTTTCACCACTGTCAAAGAAAGGTTAGAGGAAACATGTTTAACCCCGCCACATTCTGATTGTGCCTGTCCCAAGTCAGGAGCCTGTAATCTCGAGTGGTTGTCGTTTGTTGTTGTATATCATATTTGTTTTTCTTTTATTGTTTTGTACATAAGTTAGTTTGTTAGTTTTCTTGTTTTTACATTTGTCATTTCGGGTCCTTTTATAGCTTGCTATGCGGTATGGGTTTAGCCATAGATGTATATACATCTATGGTTTAGCTAATTGTTGAAGGCCGTACTATGACCTCTAGTTGCTAACCTTTTACGTCATTTGGTCTTAGGTGAAGAGTTGTCTCATTGGCAATCATACTACATCCCTAATTTTATATAACAATATGATATATAATGATTCCTACACTTTATTGTTATAAACAAAATTTAGACTTTTTAAGTGCGATTTATTCAATAAAAAATCAAATTTAAATAGCTATCTGGAAATCTTTTCACAAAAAAAACTTACAATGAAAATTTATCGTAAGATATACTGAAATGTTTATGACACCATTTACAAGTATTTGTTTAAAAAGACCAGGACAAAGAGCAACTAAAAAAACCTTAAGTGATGAGCCTTCAACAGGAACAATACTTATCTTGGTATTGGATTTTGGTGTGATCCAGGAAAATCCTATAAGGCTCAAAATGTTTATATTTATTTTGGAATCAGCAAAGATTTCATCAAAATCATTTTCTAGTTTAAATAAATTCCTCAGAAGAGAGGATGTCTGCACTTACATTCACACTCTGGGGTAAATCCATCATTATCTGAAGTCTCCCCTTTTGGACATTTTGTTTCTGTTCCTGAAGAAAAAGATTAGAGTTAAAGGATAATTTTAAATTTGTAAAATTGATATGTATAACTACAGTAGTTCATATTCCCATAGGATTTTATACGAAAAAGAAAAACAGTCTCAAAGGCCTATAAGTCATAATGTCTACGTCATTTAGTCTCTGATTGATAGTTGTCTCATTGGCAATCATACCACATCTCCTTATTTTGAAATAATGAGAAATAAAAATGAAAACATCTTTGTACTAATTTCAAGTTAGTGTTGTTGAAAACACTGATCATGGAAAAAATGAAAACATAACTATGATAAAAAATGTAGGATTTTATCTTACATGCAATCATGGAAGGGATCTATAGAATTTTCCTATCAAGATCCATTCGTTAACTTGATCCATCCAAAGTTAGTCTTTATTTACATTTTTTTTTTATGAAACTGTAAAATTACGGCCACACTTAAAGTTTGCAGAGTAAAATTTACAAATATCTTCTCAGTTAACCGCCGAACACCGCAAACTAGGAGGGTCTGGATTGGGGGTCCTTAATTTCTGTATTCTTTAATGTTTTAGGTCATTTTTCTGTGTTTTTTATATTTCAGCACCCCGTTATTCTCTATTCCTTAATTAATTTATTTTTTCCTTTTATTCTGCACATTTTGCCCATTATTCTCTACTCTGTAAACCCCATCCGGACCCTCAACTATGCAGTTTATGTGCAATGTATATGCACAATATATGTTGAAATATCAGACCACTTTTACGCGTGAAAAATACTAACCAAAGCAGTAAGCCTCATAGCATCCTTTTGTGTGCCTAAGATTATAAACATAGTAGTCTCCACAGTTCTTAACCTGAATATCATATGAGCTGATACAACATCCTCCGTTGTAATTACTTGCACAGGCAGTCACATTAGAAAGCTCGCCGACAGAGGGATACGATCCTATTAATTAAGAAGAAAAAAAATATACAATATGTCTACATAATTTCACTGAATTTTGAATTCTCTTTTTAAAGGTTTTTTAAAGTCTTTGTAGACGAAAATACGAAGCAAAAAGTAGTCCTTCTTATAGTAAATCGCTAAGTATAAAGTTCATTAACAGTCTTAACTTATTTTGAAAAGCAGAGGATGTATAAAAATAGTTATTTGGAACTACGAACAAAAAACAAAACAAAAACGGAATACATAAGTAGACAAGCGAAAATGGTTGCTTGTAGCTGAATCCTTATATTTTATGACGGTTCAGATGGTAAAAAAGCATATACATGCATGTATTAATTTTATATATAACACGTATCATAATTCAACGGGAAAGTAAGTGGCAGTGCTAAGAATATTTACTTCTCCAGTACAATCAAAATATCTAACAAGAAGCCAATTTATCATAAAGTATTTGTTTGAATAGAGTTGCTTCATATGAAGTTACCTTAGGCACCCAGAAGGTGTTAACATTGTAACATACCATTCATCCATAACGGGGAGGTGGTGCCACATCTAAAACCGCCTTGTATACACTCTGTTGGCATCGTATTGCCTGCCAAGCTTATTGGACGGTACCATCCCGAAGGTAAAAAATTATCACAAATTTCATTACGGAGGTCATTCGCAACGGATCTTTCCCACTGATTTAGTTCTTTGTAGTTTCCTTCTAAGCAAGGATCATCTATAATATATAATATATTAAAGTACCTCATTTTGGAAAAATTGATTATGACTTTAAATGAGTTTATGTTCTTAATTAAAATTCAAAACATGCGATATGAGAAACATGTTCATGTTGAAATCCGAGGCTAAATAATTAAAAATGTTAAGGATGTTTGCTCCTCATGTTTTTGAATTTTTGCCAGATATTCGGAATCCTCTGGTTTTATCCATGTAGTGCCATTAAAAAAATTTGCCAATTAACCCCTACTTTTCTTTCCATTATTTGATTAAATATAGTTTAAAATATCTTCTTTGAAAATCTTATAAAATCCTTGTTATTTTTTCATCGGTTTTGAAAGAAAAAAGGTGTCAATGTTAAATATATGAAAAGTCTAGAGAGAACTATTTCCCGCCAAATTTTCAATGGCTTATATCTCGAAAACGAGCACACTGACCCATATTTTTTTGTTGCTTTTTTTGTTTCTTTATTTTCATACTATCAATATATAATAGTCTTTTTAAAAGCTTGTTATTTTGAAACAGAGTAGCGAACATCCTAAATAAGAGAAGGCCACTGAAACACAAAGGAAGTTTATGAATAATAAATCTATGGTATTCATCACAAAGGGAATAATGTTATCTGACATAAAATATAAATAATAGCAGACACATAAAAGTGTGTGCTAAGAGGACTTAGAAGATAAAAGATGAAAGTTTCAGGGCTTTGTAATTTTCCAAGTTGAAAAGAGGCATAACTATAGAAAGGTAAATGACTCACAACCAAAGTTCGAACTCTGTCTACGTGTTGTGGTTCTTGGTATTGTGTATGATTTTCATAAAATTTGGATAAGACTTAAGTTAGAGTCCGGAAAAGAAAAAAATCGTTTTTCTCAGTTATAAATGGGCATAACTCTAGAACGATAAATGTTTTGTCCTTTTAGAAGTGCACTACAATTTTGAAGTGTTTGTATGCATACAATGATATGAAAACGTTTAGAGGCACAAAATGCAAATATTTGGCAATTTCAGGAAAACAGCTCTCCGGGAAAGGGATTTTCGTCTACTTAATGACATTATTCTTTCCATGAAAAATCATTGTATACTGCCATGAAATTATTGAGGTCAAAGTTATTACTGATTCAAACTTTTTATTCAGAAGAAATCTTATTGGTTTAAGTACAATCTGTTTCTCGGGTCTCAGTCACGTTGAAACCTGTCATCATTAATAGAAATTTTACGTATTCAAGCATTAAAAAAAAGAAAGAAATATCTGCCATGATTGTCAGTTGGTTTCTTTTTTGTAACTCACGTCTAACAGAGAGTAAAGTAAAGATTGTTTGCTCAAAAAATGCCATCATACAACATTTTGTTATGAATAAACCGTTTATTTAAATTTAAGTAAAGAATGTTTTTGAATTTTATCAGATTTTTTTTTAATAGAGTATTGATAGTTTTGTTATAATTCAATTAGTTTTATACGGAATTACGGCTGAAAAAATATGATAAATCCAATTTATTGGTATTGTACATTCGTCGGAAAAGACTGCCACATCTGCATCGGTTTAAGCCAAAAGTTGAAGTATAGATAACAACATTTCTATACCCAGTCAAGTGAACCATTGGGTTGTATTATTTAGTATCCTATATATAGCTGGTTCAAAATAAGAAAAGAGCTATTGTACTTTATATCTTACCTTGTGTAATAACAACTGTAAATACATTAAAAAACAAAAAGAATACAAGTGTTGTAATCCTCATTTTTATGGATTCATTTTTTAACAAATTTCCAACAAATTATATTAATTATGGTAAGGTGAACAAACGATCCGACATTTTGTTTTGTTCTATCTTCCTCCTTTCTCAATTGGATCGTTAAATTCAAAACAATTGTTGCTTTAAACAATATCGATAAGAATCAATATTTTTAAATGACGAACGCATGCGTAGTTGTTGGTGCAAATGCAATTTAAAAATATGTATTGTTATGTCTTCACGGGTGATGAACGTGAATGCCAAGATATGAATATGAATTTTATAAAGACAAAACGTTTGGCACACTTGGTATAACTAGTTTACAGGAGATATATAACATGATAAAAACGTAAAGCTGCGATATTTTTTTCAAATGGTATTCGTACCAGCGTTTCTAAAAAATAGTTGTTACATGTCTAGATGTCTTCTCAATGATGATGCTATATACTAAAATGAAATGAAAAAGGAATATAAACCATATGTTGCCTATAGATGTTGCAGATTTTTATCAAAAATATATACTAAAGAAGCACACAGGTGTCAGGATTACATTCCGTTCTATGTAATGGTCACACATCTTGTTATGCTCATTTGCTATTCGTGTAGCATTAGATGAAACATTGTTGTTAATTAAATGTTTTTAATTTATATTTGATATGCGTGAAGTTTGCAAAGAGAGCTTCAGTGCTTGGTATAAGCTTAAAGGAACAAATTGGGTTTCTATCTTCATTTTTTTCTAATTGTTCAGTGTCACACCACACATGTGATCTTTCATGTTTTTTTAAAAATTATTTTACTATTATAAATGCTTATAAAAAATATGTAATTTTGATTTATTTTGAAAAGAGTAGGATAAAAAGGCCTATATCTATACCCAAAAAATTAACTGTGTCTTATCCCGTCTCGGCTAAAGACAAATATTAGAAATATAAAATATGCAAATCGAATAAGACAAACATGTCCTGCTCATTTACATAAATTAGTAGCTTCAAAAATATGCCATTGTGCCAGTTTTTATCCAAATTTACTGATAATATGCATTTCAAAGGTCTATTCCTGCAAGAAAACATTTGCCATTTTGCACACCCTTTGATCAAAACCAATTTGTTATAGAAAGATGTATTTGGTTGAGAAACCCATTACAACACAATATTTGCAGGTCCATGCATGTGGTCAATATCATCTGTAGCAAAAACAACCTAATTTAAGGCAAAAGGTGGTAATTATGTGAGTTTTATCATTAAAATGCATCTTGATCCGACGAGTTAATAAGCCCTTTCAACTGATTTTTATAGTTTGTTCTTATTTTGTGCTGTTAATTACACCACTGTCCTATGTTAGGGGGAGGGTTTGGCGCCAGCAAATTAGTTAAACCCCGCCACATTCTGTGCGTGCCTGTCCCAAGTCAGGATCCTGTAGTTTAGTGGTTGTCGGTCATATTTGTTTTTCTCAATTGAATTGTTTCATATTTTCATGTCGGGGCCTTTTGTAGGCAACTGTACGATATTGAGTTTTCCTCATTGTTGAAGGCCGTAGGTTGCCTATAATTGCTTACATCCACTTCATTGAACTTTGGCGGACAGTTGTCTCATTGGCAATCAAACCACATCTCCTTATTTTTATATATGTACAATTGTGACGTCACAGTGACATCATTCCTGATAGAATGTGTTAAAGCTTGACGATTTTGAATTCAACTCAACCATTCAATCCCATCTCATGAAGCAGTAACGTTTACATGCATTTGAATAAGAAGATGGTTTACATATAAACATTAAATGTTGCCTGCATTTTTTGCCTATACCAAAAATGGGATTTTCTTGCAAGATGTCCGCTACTATATATACAATACAAAATAAAACCATTTAAATCATTGATGCCATCTTAAAAAAGAAATATAAAAACATAAAAATATGGGAAGATAAGGACATTTCTATGTGGTTGCTTTAAATATAAAAATAGTTTGAAAAACTTTTTTTGGTTGGAAAAAGAGGAATATGTTTTTGTACAAATGAAAGGGAGGAATTAAATGTTCAAGTATTTTTTCAAGGAGAAAGAAAGTTAATTTACCCCCCCCCCCCCCACACACACACACACACACACACACAAAATGTGTCTCAGCAAACAATGTTGACAAAAACATAATAAAAGTGTTCCTTTATTTTCTTAAGGGTGTGACTCTTTGCCACAATTTATCAAACAGATTCAGAACAATTTGCGGATTGTATAGCAATCTTATTTGAACGACAACTGTTCATATTTTTATGAAAAAAGCTGCCTTAAAACAGCTTCTGTACAACGTGGTCCCAGCTATTAATCCCGACGATTTTCTGGTTAAAAGTAAACTTAAGAGGAAATTTAAACCTAAAACATTTGATAATTTTGAAAATGCCAAATATAGTGACTTTAGTGAAGAACAATACGAAGGCACTAGACACTATTCCATACAACACGGATCCATATAAGAACTCTTTCTTTGTCAAGAGCATATTACATTGGAACGAACTGGAAGACAGTATTGTATGCGCAAATACAGTTGAGAGCTTCAAGGCTGCTCTCCAACACCGTCAATGTGTGTCTCTCTCTCCCGTTGAATAAAAGCCAGAATTGGTATCTTCAACGTACACATACAAATACAGATACAGATTAAAACAAGTTGTTTTCTCGTAACTGTTCCGTTCATACAAGCCGCTGCCGATCACAATAACATCCTTTCCAAATCACAGCAGCATCATTCACGTCTTATATTCTTGACTTATGTGATATACATTGAATTAGCAATTAAAAACATACTACTTTTCAATAACATACAGGAACATTGTTTTGCTAAAAAAATCAATGTTGAATGTTCATTCATTATTAATTTTTACTGATTTGCTAGGAAACTCTTGTTCACAAAAGCAGCAGCAGCATAAAGTCCTGCTTCAGTTAATGCCTTCAATAAGTGTTTCACTCGCGCATTTTGTGTTCCCCAGTCATAAAGTATGTACTTCGTTGGACTGCCGTGAATTTTATTTCCTCTTTCTTCAATCACTCTTACTTGTTCAAACGAATATCTTTCTTGGAAATTTGGAGAATCCACTTGTTTTATGACGTGAACTAAAAACTTCTTCCATTGATAGCTGATCCGGATCTAACAGCGAACTCAGATATGTTACTGTTGAGTATGGTAAATCCCTGATATAACTTTCATAATTTATGGCCATTTTTTGGTCAATAGGGTTTTCACTTTGAACAGTCAACAACACGGAAGTGCTTCTAATGGGATTTACCAGGTGAAAATTACCCCAAATTATAAACTGATAAACTGATATCTAAATTTAGACATTATTTCATAATTGTGACCCTTTCACAATACACTAAACTAACGACAATAAATAGACAATTCTTATAGAATGTCATTTCAAAGTCTTATTTCAAAAAAATACAAAATACAGTTTGTTGAATATATTGAGTCGTTTGAGTGGACTTCCCTTGCATTTATAAATACAACCCCGGACCAGATCGGACTTTAGTCCGGGACTGAACGCCTGACATGGAATGGGAAATTGCTGAACCAGACTTCTATATATCTTTATTTCTCAACAAACCAAATTATATTGGTATAGAGATACTTAGCTGTACATATCCGCTTATTTATCCGATTGCCATCAGAACATAACCAAAAGACATTTATCAGGGTATCAACCTAATATAGATTATATGAAACGGAGAGTATCGCTTGTAGGATGAAATAACCCAGTGGCGGATTTAGATAGGGTACCCGGGCCCCCTTATGGAGCTTCATTTATTGTTAATTCAGATATTCACCGGTTCCACTACAAATTTTGTCTAGTTCGGCCCACCGCCACACCCCCTCCCCCCCCCCCCTTTCAAAATCCTGTATTCGCATCTGTAACCCAGGACTAGACGTTTCTCAAAACTATACTTGCTAGAGAAAAAGCATTTTAATAACTATTTCTACGAAAACGGTTACTTTAATTGTTTATATCTATTTATATGAGTGTAATGAAAAAGAAACAGAAAAAGACATTTTTTCTGGAATTCAACGGGATAATATATATTTGATAAGGCAAGCCATGAGCTTGTGAACAGAAACGTCATCGGCCTCGATTTTTGCTAAAGATCTAATTGTTAGAATTGATTGATTGATTGGTTTTTAACTCCAGTTTCAGCACTATTTGCTATTTCGTGGCGGTCAGTTTCTATTAGTGGAGGAAACCGGAGTGGCCGGAGAAAACCACCGATCTTCGGAAGGAACACTGACAATCCTAGTCAATTGAGATTAGAGTTGAGCGCACCACCTATGTGCGAGGTTCGAACTCGCAACCTCAGTGTTGACAGGCTAGTGATGTAGTAGTTGTACTACTCAGACGACTCGGCCACCGATATCCCTTGATAGGAAGAAGAAAAACTAATAAAAAGCATTTATCTGGAAAAAAAATAAAATAATTTGAATGATAAAAAGGTTGTGATTGTACCGGATTGTCTGGTTTACCCGGCAAATTATAATCCTGGTGTCTTAGGTGAGTTTTTACAACCAGTGGATCGGTGCCTAGCTCTGCTGAAGGACGTTTAGTCCAAGATGGTATCACAAGTCCAATAGTCTTACTTTTGTGTTAACATGAAATCTCACTGATATATTAATTTTCTGTACATTTACTGTTATAAAATGTTGAATTATTGGAAACACTAAGGTATTTCTACCATCAGGTATAGATTACCTAAGTCGTATTTGGCACTAATTCTTAATTTTATGTTTGATTCCGCCTTACAATTCGAGCGCCACTAATTAATCTTATGTATACGAAAAGCGCATCTTGCATACCAAATTGTTATCCTGATATCTAAGATGTGTTTTTTGTACCCTGAAATGTCCCCGTACTGCATGCTCACTGTATATAGAACTAATAGAGAAGTAACGTTTATAATTACTTTTATAAAAATATTTCTTTCGTTTATTAAATTTTTTAATTTTCCTCGGAAGACCAATGCAAACCCTTTAACCGTGTCTTTACTGGTATTAAAAGTATGAGACCCATGAATGCGGCCTTGTCGTCGGAAAATGAAAGGAAACCATTCTAATTAGGCCAATTCAATAAAAAATCGTCAATTAATCATTAGTCATAAGCTCAGAGTTTACCAATCTCGATCCCATCAATCTACTAACTGATTGACTCATAACTTTTAAGGAAACAGATGTTTAATATTATTTGTAATAAGTAAAATAAATTCATCAAAGGTACCATGCAGGCTTATAATTTTGAACGCCAGACGCACGTGTCGTTTACAAAAGACAGTGACGCTCGAATCAAAAATTTAAAAAGGCCAAATAATGTAAGAAGTTGGAGAAAATTGAGGGCCAA